TAGAAAATAAACTTAAAGAAATTATTTCGTATAAGACATACGGAATAATACCATAAACTCGTGGACTTTCTTTTTGGGTTAACGCAAATCATACAATACGGTCAAGCTTGAAAACATTTGTCTCCGATTCTTTTGCTTTTGTTTTTTTTGTAAAACGGTTATTACAAAATGGAATGGCTTTACAGGGGAGAGTGAAGAAGGCAAGAGGTTAATGTACTAAATAAGTTGCACTGTTAAACAGCTGTTGAAGGCATGGTGGCCTATGCTAATGTCGGCGCTATCACAGTAAAAAGGATTCGAATTTCTTCAACAAATTGGAGTGCAACTACAAAAAAAACACCCGGTTTTCAACCTTACTTTGCTCTCAGTTTATTACCAAATAAAAACTATTATACAATCCCGCTTCACACTAAAAACAGCTGAGTATAGTTAGAACATTCATGGTTGTGAAATATAGTTATCCATAAGTATAATTGTAAATTTCCCAGATATTTAGATTTTAAACTCTGTTAACTAAAATTACTGCAATCTACCGTTGGCCTGTTTAGCTAACCTTACTGAATGAAAGACAGTTTGAGGCTATTTTCGCTGTCAGAAGTTTACTCAATTGTTCGTCGTATCAAGACAAAAATACAATTGAAAATAATTTTTTTTAAGGTGGCTCTGTAAGGTTTACGACTGCACGTGCGCTGAGGAAGAAAGCTTTAGTAATCTGCGCGCAAACAAAGGACAATGATAAGGTTTGCCGATATTTTTGACGATCTTTAACCCCTGCCCCTCCCCGAATGGAGCGCTTGGCCATGGCAGGGCTCCCATTTATACCCTTGGGTGGAAAGAGGCATTGTGAGAGTAACGTGTCTCGCCCAAGAGCACAACACAATGTCCCCGGCCAGGGCTCCAACCCGGACCGCTCAATCCGAAAGCCGGAACCTCCGCCCCTTAGGTACTCAGCTGCATTCCGGGAAAGCAAGGCGCTGTTATTACAAACATTAACTTCCAGAAATCTGCTCAGGTTGACAATTTTTATACGCTTTTAGGGGAATCACTGAATCATAGTCGAAACCCGCCAATGTGCGCCTTCGCGAAATTAACGGCATGCAAGTGTAGGAAAGTGATTTAATTATTTCTTTCATCGTGGGAAGAGGAGAAGCTGTCATTGCAAAGGGAAATATTTGCTTTCAGCCATTCTTTTGCTGTGAATGTAGCACCGAACATTGACTGGTGACATGAAGTCACATGCCACGAGGATGGAGAGTGTGTAAATAAAACAACGAGACTAATATTAGAAGTTAAAGAGGAAATGCGATATCGATATGGAGCAATTACTGCTCGGAACACTGGTACTGTAAAGGAGATATTCAACATCGGTCAGCACGGGAAATATTTCTCAGGTAAATATCTTGAATCTGTCACCTGCAAGTGCAACAAGACAGGCTTGACTGAATGAAATATAGTCAGCCATTTGTTTTATTATTTGGTAATATAATTCTACTTGAATACCCTCGGTCAGACGCTTATATTCTTTGGATACGCCCCGACAGATGACATAGGACTTCTACACATGATTGGATTCGATCCATCTGTGCTTTTCCTTTCACGGTAGCAAACGTAAATGGCAATCCCAGTTTGAAACCATATGATCAAGAGATGATCAATGAGGGCAGTAACGAATCGAATAGTCTTATTTTGAATAGTCGAATTCATGTATGAATACACGAATTTAAGCTTCTATAAACTCTTTTCAGTTGAAAGACTATCAGTTTCAAAATTGTTACTATAACAGAAGGTGTTATAATTAATGTCTTTGGTTCTCAATTGCTTCACAGTGTTCTTCACACTGAATCGTCTGATAAGTTTTCTC